CAGGTTTTCCCATAATGTGTGTCGCTCATTTCCTTTTACCTAACTTGGTTGCAGTCTTCCCCCATAACCAATTTTTAACGAAACATTTTTTTTTAATATGAAAGAACGTTACATAGAAAGACAGGTGCTTATCATTATGTAAATACTAAAGATCAAATTAAATATCTTAGATAAACTAAGATGAAAGAGATAATTTGTCATAGTTTAACGTAACCTTCAGTTTTAGCTACCATTTGTTTACTGGTACACGGTTAAAAGACAGTGGTGTACTGGAGTTAACAATCAAAAGCGGCCTTGCCCCTATCTGACTTTTATTTATTTTCCTTTACGCAGATAAGCTTACAATAAGAAAGTCATTAATTAATCATAACATAAACGATAAAAGGGAAAAAAACGTTAAGAGATCTATTTCGATTTGTCACATTGAAAATGAGGTAAATGCATATTATTAAATAAGTTTTGTCCACATACTTTACCATTCCTCAGGAAAATGTCGTTTTGATATCTTGCTGTATCTACTGTAAGGAAAACGCCAGAATTTCAAATGCATGGGGGATCAATTGTCAGGATATGGATTAACATCACCTTATTTCTTGTTATATTCATAGTCATCTAAAGAGAATATTTATAATTAGATAATTACATTTACAACTGTTAAAATTTTATTGTTTTTAGCTGTCAAACATAAAATATAAGCTACTCGTTCATTTTAAATAAAAAATGCCCTGAGTATTAGCTTCTAAATATCATTTTACATGATATGCTGGTCCTCAAACAGCATAGGCCTACCCTACATGCAGTACCCAAAAAATTTGTTATTAGCAGATATCATTTATAAAATTGCGCTTTACTCTAACAAGGTTTCCTGCCCCCCCCCCCCGACATAAAACAACAGCTTCCACCGCATATAAGTCGTTCATTAACTTTATCTTTAGCATATATTATTGGTATGTATACATTGAAATGGGAGATTCAGTACGCAAGTATTCTTGTAATACAAAAGCTCAGACTGCTCAAATATCATTGACGAACGAGGTGGGGGCATCCAAAATATCACTCACAAAAACAGCCCGGGGAAGGAGGGGGGAATATTAATGACAGAACAGGCCCAGGCGCACAAATATTACTGACAGAAATTGTCCACCAGTCAGTGCCGGATTAATTAATTTTAAAAAAGCCAATAAATGAAGTAGGTGCCTAGGAGCCACACGCCTATTAGGGGCCCCGAGACATGAGATCCATTTTTTTTTTTTTTTTTTGATTTGTGTTATTGCATGTGTTTTGGACTAATTTTACTTCAACGCAGCGTTGTGGCCACAAACACTCCTCTCCTCCTTTTTATTTATTTTTTTTGAAATAACCAAGTAAATGTGTAGAAGTGTGCAAACCCCAACCCTTTTCCAAGGGCCCAGAGACATGAGATCCATTTTTTTTTTTTTTTTTTTGATTTGTGTTATTGCATGTGTTTTGGACTAATTTTACTTCAACGCAGCGTTGTGGCCACAAACACTCCTCTCCTCCTTTTTATATATTTTTATTGAAATAACCAAGTAAATGTGTAGGAGTGTGCAAACCCCAACCCTTGTCCAAAGAATGCTATCAGGTGACGCATTTTTAAAAATATATTTTCTGGAGGTTTTTAATCCCTATACATCAGCCGGTGGCTATCCTATCCGAGAGAGATTTTTTTCTATTTTTCCTACACATTTACGAGACATGTGTGTGTGTGTAAATTAACATGTGTAATTTTTAAGGACTTTCACTTGCTGTGCAGTATGTTGATATAGGCCTAGTTTTTATTTTGGTTTATTTGATTTTGCCTTCTTCAGAAAACGTAGGATATTTTTTAGTGATCCAAATAATTCGAAACTTTTTTTTTTTTGTTCATTTATCGTATATATCTTTTTTATTTATTTATTTTTTTTTTTTTTTGTTTTTAAAATTCTAGTTTAAGTTTTTTTTTTTTCCTTATAATTTTTTTTTTTTTTGTTATTTTTATTTTTTATTTTTTTTTTTATTTTTTTTTTT